ATCTTTTTTTAGTTTTTAAAATTTATTTTATTAAATTTTCTATTCATTTTACATACCAACTACAGATCCCCCTCTCCTCTCTCTTCCTACTCCTTAGCCTTCTCCCCAACCCCCGCCCCCCATTCCCATCTCCTCTAAGGCAAGATCTCCCATGGGAAGTCAGAAGAGCCTGGGACATTCAGTTGAGGCAGGTCCAAGCTCCTCCTGCCTGCACCAAGGCTATGCAAGGTGTCTCCCCATAGGAACTGGGCTTCAAAAAGCTGGCTCATCTCTTACCTATCCAGAGGGCCTAGTCCAGTACCATGGGAACAATTAAGATATCTTAAAGGAAGAAATTAGTTAAAAGATGACTTTTTTCCCACATTCAGAAATGGGAAACACTTTTACAATGGAGGAAATTTGGTCTCTGTTTGATAACACATTAAGTAGTCTGAAAATGGAACAATAAAATGAGAGGATAAATAATGTTGATAGGATTTACATAACATCAATTATGAATATTATTTGTTTGATCATTTTTGTCTTATCATTAAAAAGGTTGGTTGATGTGAGTGCCAAGATAAAAGTTTTAGAAAAACTTGTTAAAAAGGATCATGGAGATATTCAGACCCAGACAGAATTTAAAGGTGACCCTATCTCAGCATTGCATTATAGGGTTACAGAGAAATAGCATAAGTCTTTCTAAAGCCAACATTAATCTATCCAGTAATCTTATAGGAACCACCAAATGCCCAAGGCTGGGTTCAAGCTAATTGGGCTCCTATGCAAATGTTAGATTTGAGGAGATTCATAGAAACACTAAACAAACCTTCATAGAATTCTTACAAAGAATGTCTCCAGCAGTTAATAGAATGATACCAAATTCAGAAGCTAGATAGATAATGCTTGAATCTCTGGCTTTTGAAAATGCTAATGCACAATGCGAAAGGGTAATCAGGCCATTCAAGTCAAGACCAGAACCCTTGGAGGAATGGATCCAAGATACAATTAATATTGAATCTCATGACAATGATGATGCTTGGATAGGAGAGGTGATTTCCAGAGGTTTGAAGAAAAATAGTAATATCAGATGTTTCAAATATGGTCATCAAAAAAGGGACTATAAGTAGGGCATTCATAGCAACAATGTTTTTTCAAGGACTAATCCCAAAAGAATGTTCCTTCCTTCTGGAATATACAGAAGATGTGGTAAAAGCAAACATTGGACTAATGAATGTAGATCAACAAGAGACAGATAAGGCAATCCTTTGCCTTTGACATAGGGTAATTCCCTGAGGGGTCTCTCACAGGGCCCCATGGCAAATTCAGTTCAGTCCTTTGCTGACATTGTAGAAACCCCTTCCCAAAGCAATTAAATAGCCAAATGCCTATTATAAAAAACAATACTGCTCTGGGTAATAGAACAGATTCAGAAAATAAAACAAAAATTTAAGGAGAAACTATAAGTCAAAATTGATAAAGATTTGAAAGGGAACCTTCCCAAAGTTAGGGTTGGGGAAGGAATTTGTTTTTGTTTTTCAGGAGAATGAGGGCTAAGGAATTTGAGGAACACTGGCTTCATCTAGCTTGATGTACATAATTTTGCGATTGAGTTTCTATAAGTTTTCTATAGGGAAACATAACCATGCCTAACAGTGACTTTGAAGTCTCCAAAAAGATGATGGGGACATACAATGACAATTCCATCAGGACAATGATAATGCCACTAAGATGACAAACACCACCCAAAGATCAGCTTTGGACTACAAATTGCTCAGGACAATTTCAAGATGACTAGTTGAGATGATCCAGCCTCATAGACTACTTGAGCAAGGACTTGAGACAAACCCTGCACTTTCCCATTATGCAGAGACTGGACAAATGATACAGCTAACTCTTCCAGAACTTGACAATTAACCCCAAGTGTGTGTGTGTGTGTGTGTGTGTGTGTGTGTGTGTGTGTGTGTATGTGTGTGTGTGTGTCTATGCATGTTTGTTAAAGTGAGTACAGTTGCTTCCACAGGTCAGAGGCATATGATCTTTGGCACTGGAATTAGAAATACCCCTGAGCTATCTGATGGATGTGTCAGAAACAACTTTTTAGTTCATCTATAAAAGCAGCATGCATACCCAAAATGCTCAAATATCTCTCCAGTTCCATTCCTCTTAGTTTTAGTAGCCCCTGAAATTTCAACAAAATGGCTGCCTAAACAAGATCTTCACAATGACAACACTAGTTGATTGCCAAATGTGTAAGTGATAAATATCAGAAGACTACAACTCTAAATGAATAGATAGTAAGGACTTACTGAAAAAGGGAGAATCAGTTTTCACTGGGGATGAGACCACTATGTATTATCTAATATCTAGTGAACAGGACTGGAAGTACACATAATAGCAAAATCATTAACTGAACATGAAGCCCATGTCCTTCTTTGAGAAAAATCATAGGAATACTTTGATTCATGTCTTTAGGAACTAATTCTGATAATTTCTGATATTTCCTGTCTTGAAATCTGTTGTTTGGTGATGTAATCAAACTAGGATATGATCGTTTGAGTTGACCCATATGTGAATAGAAATATATAATATGCAGAACATCTAAGGACATGGCTGAGACACACAGTGAAGTGCTACAGCTGTACTTAGAAGGGGTTGAGATGGCTCTTGGTGTATTATTCTTATTTTTTTATCTTAAGGTTCTTGAAAGTTGTTTTTGCCTTTAAAAACTCTTTTTCATAGTTTTGCAATTATCATATAATTTTATCATTTACTCCTCCCTTACTTCACTCCCAACTGCATAGTTTACACATCTTTACTATGTTTAAAATTTATGGGTTGTTTTTCACTAATCTTTCTTACATACATATGCATAAACATATGTACAAATATTCCTAAGTATGGACAATGAAGTTTATATAAAATTGCTTGTATGTACGTTTTTAATGCTTAATCTTTGATGTTAGATAACTAATTTCCAGTGAGAGATTATGCTGTACTTGTATTTTTTTTAACACATAAAGTTTAGAAAAAAAATAAGTTGTTTTCGGAGCATTGAGGCCTCATCATATTTCCAGTCCACCTTCGCATGGCTATTGTTTTTCTTGTTCACATCATGTTTAGCCAGTATTTCATTAGATTACATGGGTGTAGCTTTCAAATTACTAGCAGATAAAATATCACAGCATTCTCCCTGCTCTTCTGTCTCTTACAACCTTTTCTACACAAACCTTCTGGAATGTTCCCTGAGCACCATGTGTGGAATTTGTTTGATGGTAGATGTATCCATTTGGACTGGTTTCCAAAACACTGCATTTTCATTGGCTTTGACTTTGTTTATGGTTTCTATCTGTTGCAATGTGAAGTTTGCTTGATAAGGAGTACAGTTATCTATGGGTATAAGGAAAAATTTTAAAATATAGTTAGGGATTGTGCTACCTTTTATAAAAGTGGTGGTTGTATGTACTCTTCCAAGACCAATTCTGGTAGTTGGCTTGTTACTAACATCAGACATGGTGTTACTCAAAATTAAAGTGTCTTAAGTGCAGATACAGAGCTGTTGGTAACTGCTGTTAGTTATATTAGCCACTACTGTACCCTTTGGGTAATTGTGCCATGATGGTTGTTTTTATGGTTGATGGAAATCATAGCTTGAAGGGACTTTTTAATTGTTTCCTTCCTTTGAACTTTGTGTGTTGCATCTGGAATCATGAAACCTTGTCCTCAAGGAGGGAATGTTCAGGACAGTTCAAGCTCAGAGACCTTAGGTCCCTTCACCTAAAATGTATAGCATCTTCAGAAACAGAGAATTTCATTTTACCACTTGGATGGAGACGTAGTAGCAATAGTTTGCAATGTTTTGGTAGTCTCTTAGACAGCTCTGACTACAAACTTAAAAAGGATCTCTTATGACTGTCATTGAGGTTTTTGTTAGATGGTCATTAACTCTTCTTTGGATTGTTAGCACAGATGAAAAAATGTTTTTTAAATTATATATGTAGATGTATACTCAGACTTACATATTTTATCACATTTGGGAGTGAGGGAATAGTTAATAGTGAAGTTCCTTATGATTTACTTAGACATCCTTATAATACTGTCTTTTGCTATTTAATTCCAACATCTCTCCAAACATAGAACCCTCTCTCTTTCCCATTTCCTTGATCATACCAATTATACCCTGCCATTCCCTTCTCTATTGCTATCTGACCTTTACCCCAGAAATCATTTTCTTACTTTTCTGGTTTTTGCAATTACTCAAGAACATGTGCTCATGTCTGAAGCTTTAGAGCTGGAAGTATAAGATGAAAGAGAACTTTTGAACTTTGTCTTTTTGGACCAGAGGAAGCACATTCAATTTGATTTAATGTAACTCCATCCATTTACCTGTACAGTTCATGATTTACAGCTAAAAAATAAAAAATAAAAATTACAGTGGTTTTTATCACATTGTTATTATCTATTCCTCAGTTCAAAGGCATTTAGGATGTTTTCCCATTTCATGTGGTCCCTCCACCACCAAAGGAGTACAGGCAACTACTGATGGCCAGAATAAAATTTAGCTACTGTTGTAAGGCCCACTTTCAGTAGCTCAGGAACTGAAGAAAAGACATGGAGTAGGTAGCTGATCACACAATTGAGATTTTTATCTAAGGGAGTAAAACTTAATTCTCTGGGGCTATTGAAAATGGGAAGCACACACACACATATACATACACACATGTACACACACACCTTCAACATGTCAGGGTCTCTATTCTTTGTATTTTCCCTTACCTTTTTCCTGATGTCTTGCTTCCAACTCTTTCCTGGTGATTTCTTTCTACTCTTTTTTGATGTCTTCCTTCCCTCACTCTTTATTTTTTCCCTGATAGCTTATATCTCTCAGCCAGCAAAATCTTTCAAGTAGTATAAAAATTACAATGTGGGTACATTATATTTTCAAGTGAATGCTTACAGTGAATAGAGGTCAAAAACAAAATGTTTCTCATTTCTCTGACATGATTAAACATTTTACATACTGCAGGTGAAAAAACCAATTTATTGTCAAAGACCTACATACATTCATGTCTAAGCAACTTATTATAGATTAACAAAGTGTAAGCAAGGCATCTTTCTTAGTCACTTTTCTTTTTACTGGCAGTCTTCAATTCATTGTTACAAAGAAAGGATCAATCACTTTATTATTAACTCAAAAGGTAATTTTATAAAAATCTGAATCAGAAACCTTATCCTTTATATATATTTAAAACAACCACTTATCTCTAGTTTAAATCCTTTGAGTGCACACACATTCATCAATAAATTTTTATTAAATCATATCAGGAAGTAGAGGGCAAAAATATGTACAAGTAATTAATCAGCTCTTTCACCAAACCATTAAAAGTATGCCTTTCTAACCCTTAAATTGTTTCCCAAGATTTCTATATTAAAGGCATTAACAAAAACAACTATCATTACTAACAATCTACATTTCTAAGTTCTTTCTAAGAGTGTTGGTTGAGTCATTCACTATTATTTTAAATACCAGTAGCACTGCCCAATGAAAGGTGAGAGGCCTCCTTAAAGTTTTCATAAACCTCAGAGATGATGAGGGACATTGTAAGAATGAAGGCAATAAGCAGAACTATGCTCTGTAACAGCATGAGGTTTAGAGGACATATAATCCTCAGGGCTCTGATTCTCCAAGCTCACTTGTCATCATTTTCCTAGCTGCAAATTTGTGGTCTGAGTTCCAAGGTTGCTTGCTGTTCCTCTCATATGCTGCCAGCATTTCACAGAGATGAGCCCCCTTTATGGTTTTCCAATAGAACAGAATAGTATTTTTGATATCATACATACACAAATGACAAAATCAGACTCACAGATAAAATACTTAAAAATAATGACAGGAAAAAAATGCTATAAACTTGAATGTAGAAGGGACATGAAATGGGCTTAAGGGATCGTATCTGAGAGGTGCTGTGAGGAAGAAGGTGAGGGGAGATATGATGTAATTATATTTCAACTAATACATTTTTGAAATAAAAATTTAAACTAAAAAAATGCAAATTCTATAGGAAAGGCCACAAATGAAACTGCAAGGGAGAATTTACAAATTGAAAAAAAAACTTTTGAAAATTAATAGCTACATTCAAAGAAATCAAAAATCAAAAATGTCAAAGGAGTTTCTGTTATAGGTTAACTATACAATTGTGTTGACAAATCAACAAATCCAATACTAGTAATTCAAACGTATTTCAAAAAAACATTTCACAGTTACTCCAAAGAAGAATTTTCTCATTGAAATGTATCGGAGTTTAATACATTGCATTTGATTCTTAATTGTCTGGTGTCTAAATCTGTTTGTCTTCCTATTTCTATGTGAGTTTTCTGTGATTATTTTCTTCTTTAAATTGATTTATGGTTTTCTGAGATGAGCACTGATGAACTAACTTGCTTCCCACACTTGGATATTTCATTCACATGTGTGTTGTCATGATTACAGGTTATAACTTTAAAATCCTCACATTCTACTTGCAGGTATCCTTTCCATAATAAAGGTGAAGGTAGATAATAGATAAATTTTTACTGTATGATTGTGTACTGGTTTATTTCAGGATCAACTTTCTGGAGTTTACTTTTATCAGTAGGTTTTGACAACATCAATTCATTTCTAGAAGTCTTTAGAGTGGATTTTATAAGGTACAATGAATCACATATCTAACACAATGGTGAACATTTCAATGCTTACTCTCTGATATCAATTTTCTGATGCATAGATATTTGGGAAGAACTATTAATGAGGTTAGTTCATTATTATGATATATTTTTCCTGAGAAAAAGCAACACACATATGCATCTACTCACTCAAAATGTGCATTGAAAACAGAACCAAGAATGGATATCACTGAGATGAAGCTGGTTGAATTAACAGGCTCTCTTTGGGTTATCTTAAGGAATATGGAAACAAGTTGGTTACAGGAACAAATCAGACTGAAAAAAACAGTTGTCAACATGAAATCCAACACTGCATGGGATAGGGTTTATAAACCCCAAACACCAAGAATTCACTGCACACCTGGAGATATATCTACAGGTTGCATAGCATCTTTTCTAGGAGACTCAGTTCATCAGTGCCTTCTCTAAGCAGCATGGCTGGTCTCCATTTCTTCAGAAAGTTTAGGATGGTGAATTCTGTCAGTTTACTTGGACTTCCTGAAATGATTAGAAGTCTTTATTTCCTGGTTAATCAACTTCTATTAAGGATGGAATATTTCAGACCCCAGAAAATTGATATAATATAGCACAGTGTCGAGCCTTCTTTACTTTTCATTTTTATGCAATATTTGAGGTTGAAAAAGTATCATGTTTTAATGAAAATTGCTCTACATTGACACATTTTCAGAAACTTTCCTCAGTATAAACTTCATGCTTTGTAAGATTTGCATATTACTTAAAGGCTTTCAAAAATATCTCATTTTCATAATGTTCCAATTGTATGGCAGTGTAGTGACCTCTGATTACAGATCTTCGTGTGAATTATATGCCACATTATTTACTATGGAAGCTTCTTTCTCCAGGATGAAGTTTTTCAAATATTCTGAGAAGTGAGAGGCAGATAGAGACTTTGGTACCTTCACTACACTCACAGTTTTCCCTCCTATATGTTATCTACAACTCATGTTGTCTACGACTTGACCCTTGTGTATAGGATTTCTCACATTCACTACATTTGTAAGGTTTCACTCCTGTATGGGTAATCTGATGTGTTCTAAGTTTGTACTCCTATTTAAAGAATTTCTCACAATCACTACATTGGAAAGGTCAATTTTCTGTATGAATTCTCTGATGTTTTCTAAGAATGAAGACACGTGAAAATGATTTCTCACATTCACTACATTTGTAAGGTTTCTCACCTGTATGACTTCTCTGATGATATGTAAGGCTTGACATATATGCAAAAGATTTCTCACATTCACTACATTTGTAAGGTTTCTCTCCTGTATGACACATCTGATGCTGTGTAAGATTTGAAAACTGTCTGAAGGATTTCCCACATTCACTACATTTGTAAGGTTTCTCTCCTGTATGAATTCTCTGATGTACTCTAAGGCAAGAGGCATGTGTAAAACATTTCTCACAATCACTACATTTGAATGGTTTTTCTCCTTTATGAATTCTCTGATGTACTTTGAGATCTGAGGCATACGCATAGGATTTCTCACAAGCAGTGCATTTGAAAGGTTTCTCTCCCGAATGAATTCTCTGATGTACTCTAAGACGATCAGCACGTACAAAGCATTTCTCACAATGATTACATTTGAAAGGTCTCTGTATTGTATGAATTTTCTGATGTGTCAAAAGTTGGTCTTTCTGAAAAAAGCATTTTTCACATTCACTACATTTGTAAGGTGCCTTTCTACTATGGGTTTTATAATGGATTTTAGCCTGATATAACAAGTAAAACCACTTTCCACATTTGTTACATTTGTAGAATTTCTTTCCAGAATGAGATCTACGATGTTTGCTGAGATTCCAGTACGACTTGAAGCATTTGCCACATTTCCTGCATTGGTGTAGTTTCTCTACACTAGAGTTTTCTTTCAGTATGAGTGTGTGTTTAGAGTCAAATGATTTATCACAGTCCACAGTTTTGTGTAGTTCCTTTTTAGTATGAAGTCTTTCACTAGTGATAGAACACAAATTTAACTGTTTTCCACAGTCTCTATACTTGCAACATTCTTCTCCAGTGTTCCCACTTTTAGTATTCTTTGGGTTTGTTGATTTAGTAGAGGCATCCCCATAGTTACGACATCCATACTTGTTGCAATTCTTTGTAAGATCACTTGTGTTATAAGGTGTACATTGGGAGAATTTGTGGGCCATTTTGCCAATCTCATTAAATTCATGAGACTTCTCTTGGATATTCACAGAATGGTAGATAATGAGCTTTGACCCTTGATTCAAGATGTTCATATATTTCTCCCATATTACTCTGGAAAATGAGCACAAATATGGCATATAAGGATTGATGCATGTTTACAGATTCAAAAACGAATGTCTCTTAAGTTCTATAAGGCAAGTTACCTAGATATTCTTAGAAACAGAGCTCTTAGCAGAGGCCATTTGTGTTTCACTATTATTACACGCATGCTCAGAACCAATCTAATTGTCATCAAACACAAAGACCTGATAGTAGCCTTCTCATTCTTATATAAATGGCAAAACTTTAGCAGTTGGGACAAATAGATGATTAAGCAATAATGCATTATGAGAAAGGAGCTCTCTGTAAGATCATATGTAGAAGGCTTTTATATTCTTACTGTTTATATTTTTTAGAAGGTCTCACCATATAAACTTGGTCATCTAAGAACACATATGTAACACAGGCTTGTCAGGAATTCACCATATCCTCTTACCTCATTCTTCCAAGTGCTAGGATTAAAATCATGCTGTCCTATGCTGCCAGGACTAAATAGACTACAACTTAAATATAAATAAATAAATGAGGTGAAAAAAGCCGCAAAATGTTCATTAGAAGCCGGGCGGTGATGGTGCACACCTTCAATCCGAGCACTTGGGAGGCAGAGGCAGGTGGATCTCTGTGAGTTTAAGGCCAGCCTAGTCTAAAAAGTGAGTTCCAGGAAAGGCACAAAGCTACACAGAGAAACCCTGTCTCAAAAAACAAAAAAAAAAGTTCATCAGAACCAATTTTCTTCATTTAAAAACCTCTGAATTTCTTAAAATGAAGAAATAAATAAAGTTTAATCTGATATTAATATCAATAAATTCTAATTGCTAAGTATAGTATAATGCTTTTCCTTGCTCTGAATATTCAACATTTTTTTTTGAAATTTACAGTCTTCAAAATAGTAAGTAAGAGGTCAGGACAGATCACCCAAATATAGTATTGGTTGCTTTTTCACAGAAGAAAACAGTAATGAAAAAATATGACAAAGTTATGTTTATTACCAGATTTCTGTCATTTATGATAGTCTCTAGAATTATTTAGAAAGCAGATAAATATAATGGATAAGGTAGATATTCCTTAAAAAGAAAATTCTTAGCAATGAAAACTAGATTGCTGTAACTCTCAAATATCACATCAATGCACAAGTTTCTCCAATAGGATAGCAAATTTTCCCATTTCTCCTGGAAGAAGTCCACAGCCACATCCCTGAATGTCCACAGAACATGTAGTGGAAAATTATCCTTCTACCACGTGCTGCTAGAGAAAATGCTTTCCTAGCAAAGGAAATAGAGAATGTTTTGTGATGTAAATGAGACATGCCCATTAATCCAAGATAAATATTTTCTAGAGATTGTAAAAAATAAATGGCTCATTAGATAAGAGCACTAGTTGTTCTTCTAGAGGAAACCTATGCACATCCCTGTACCCACATGACATCATGCAACTGATTCTACTTCCAGTTCCCTGGGCTCTTTGATGGTTTGAATGAAAATGACCCCCAAAGGGAATGGCACCATTAGGTGGTGTGATGTTGTTGGAGTAGTTGTGGCTTTGTAGGAGGAACTGTGTTACTGTTGGGGTGGCTTTGAGGTCTCCTATGCTCAGGCTATGCTCAGTGTGGTAGACAGTTCACTTCCTGTGGCCTGCAGATCAAGATGTAGTGAAACACATCTTCTTTTCCAACACCATGTCTACCTGAATTCCACCATCTTTCTTGCCATGATGATAATGGAATAAAACGTTGACATTGTAAACTAATTTTAATTAAGTGCTTTCCTTTATAAAATTGTTGCAGTCATGGTATGTTTTCACAGCATTTGAAAACCTAATTAAGATAACAGTTGTTACCTCGAACTGCAGTATTGCTATGATAGGCCTGACCATGTTTTGATATAGAGAAACTTGGACTTTGTTTTTCTGGGTTACAAAAGCAATAGAATGCTTTCAGCATTGCTGAATGGGCCATAAAAGTAGGAGCACTGGAAGACAGTCTTGTTGAGGATGATGAGAAATGTGGGAGCCTGGCTCAAGAGGTTTCAGGGCAAAGATGTTTACTATGTTGCCTAGCAATCATTCTTGTGTTAATTTGTTGAAGAATGTGGCTGCCTTTTTCCATTGTCCAAAAAGTCTGCCTGTGAAGAATTTTGAATTAATTGTATTGTCTAAGGAAATCTCAAAACAGACAACTATAATCCTGGTATTGTGGGTTAAATAGTATTAACCCTAATAAAGTTGTATAATGAAAAGAAGCAAGTTGAGGAAGGAGAAATACAAAATGTATACTTTAGAGAGAAAAGGAGCACCAAGAAATGGAATGGAATAAATTTCTGCATTCAAGGAGACACACACTAAGAAATGGAATTAAGTGTGTAATGATCTCAAGACAAGATCTCACCAAGCTGTTTCCAACTTGTGAAAAGGAATTAAAAGTTTAGAGCCAGGTGTGGTGTTACTTGTTTAATCCCAGTACTCTGGAGACAGAGGCAAGTGGATCTCTATGTTTGAGGCCAGCCTGATCTACAGATAGAGTTCCAGGACAGTCAAGCTAAGACAATGAAGGAAACCATGGAAAACACAGTAAGCTAGTGAAGGTGTAATTGAACAAGGGGGACATGTTATAGCCCTAGGAAACAGCAGAAGATGGCAGTTTTGGCCATCAGGTTATGGTTTTAGAGTCATGGATAGAAGAAATGGGTTATGCAATTTTCCTCTACAATTAAGGAAAGCAGCTGAGGTCAGCAATGCATCAGCAGTGTCCCTGCATATAGACCCAAGAGATCACTGTGTGAAGCTGTGCAAGTGATGCCTGCATTGCCTTCTAAACCCCAAGATGTTGGAGCTGCCAGAACCATAGAATATCTGCCAAAGAGAGAGGCAAACCTGGCCCAGAGACAGAAGTGTGTCGCAGTCAATGTAACTGAAAAGAATTGGAGATCAGAGGAGCTTTGACATCAGACATGAAGATGCAGAGTTTGTAATTTACCCAGTTGTTTTTTTTCAGTCTTGCTTTTGTCCAATTTTCCCTTACTATGCTCCCTTCCCTATATATTTTGATGGTAATGTATATTCTGTGCCATTATATGTTGTAAATATGTGATTGGGTTTTGATTTTGATTTTACAGGGGATTACATTTGAGAGATTGCTTGAATCTCAGAAGAGACTCTGAACTTTAATCACTGTAGCTCACTGTGATCAGTGCTTGAAGTTCAGTTATTATAATGATTGTAGCTCAGTGGGTAAATACCTTAAAAAGTTCCCATTCCAGCTGAGAAAAAAAAAGCACTCCAACAAATGACCAAGACACAAAGTAGAGGTGAGTTAATAATCATACAAAACTGCAAAAATCACTCTATCACAGCCATGCTAAAGAGTGTAGCTGTCCTCACTTGCTTCCTCATCCCTTTCATTTCTTTTACTGTGTCCACTTTCTAACACCTTCCCATCTGACCTGAGACAGGGCCTTCTCCAGGATCCATGCAGAGTGAGTGCTGCCACCACCTGCTTTCTCTCTGCCTCTGCCTCTGTCTCTCTCTCTCTCTGTCTCTGTCTCTGTCTCTCTCTCTCTGTCTCTCTCTCTCTCTCACTCGTTCATGTGCTCTCTCTTTCTGAGGGCCTAGTATTAAACCTAAGACTCTCTTCTCTCTTGCAGAAAGCTAGGTAATTCCTGTTTCTTTTTTTTTTTCGTGAATCTCAATGTCTTTGACTAGGACTGAGCCTCAGAGGCATTTTCATGCGATAAGGAGAAGATAGGGTACAGGCTTTTGGGATCAACAAAGTCTAAGAGGAACACCAAGAAAGAATAATGGTGGGGTGGGGCTAGTTAGAGGGATGTGGTAGAGCATGTGTGACCCCTGGGTTCTATCTGAAGCTGAGCAAGAAGCAAAACACATCCCAAAGTACTAAAGAAACTATCCTTTTTAAATCTAGGTGTATCATATATGTAACTTTGTATACAAATATATTATTTTTAGACTTAAAAATTATTACTTTCTTGCTTTTGTTTTATTAACAGGGTCTTACTATAAAGCTCTGGCTGTATTGGAATTCACTATGTAGAACAAGTTGGCTTTGAATACATTGAGATACACCTGCCTTTGCTTCTCAAGTGCATGTGCCACCATGTCCAGCTAAGATTTTTTAAAATTATTTTTAAATTGTATGTGAATGTGAGTGCAAATGCCCACAGAATCTACTGATGCCCATAGAGCTTTAGATACTTTGGATCTTGATTTACAGGTAGTTGTGAGCTGCTTGGTGTGGATGTTAGGAACTGAACATAGGTATTCTGCTAAGTGCAGTATTCATGCTAGAACACTGAAACATTGCTCCAGGCCATGTATACAGTTCTTAGATGTGTGACCAGGCAGGGATGTGAGTGTATATACATTCATACATGTATACACATTAGAAAATTCCAATTATTCTATTCCAATATTTAGGAGGTGGGGTGTGGCTCCATTATTAAGATTTTTTACCTAACATAGTTCATGAAATCCTGAGTTTGACCTGGGGCAACACATAAGTCAAGTATGGTAGTTCACAGCTGTAATCCCAGCACTTGAGGGGTATGAACATGAAGCTAAGAAGTTCACGGTCATTCTTGACAACATAGTGAGTTTCAGCCCTACCTTGGATACATGAAAATATGTCTCAAAAAGTAAAGAAAAGAAATTAAGTACCTTAGAGGCAAGCATCACCAACTCACCTCGGGATATCAGCACTCCCCAATGGTACCCAAGCCTAGAAGTGTTTTCCCAGTCTCAAGTGTCTCTGAGGACCAACCTGGGCTGGGGCATTTCCTTTTCTTTACAGCCTAAGGATAGCTGCTGACTTCCAAGCTTCCTGGCTGCCTGGCTTGTGTTTCTTCCCCTGATATTCCTATGTAATGTGGGAAAGTGCTACTACCTGTCTTTGGTCTTAAAGCATGACACTAGGTTCATCATCTTCATGTCCCTCTTTGTCTACCTTGCCAGCCTGTTCATGTATTTAGGGTCCAAATAAGGGAATCATGAAATCAGGTAGCATTTAATTAAGAGATCCAAGGGTGTCCCTCAGTATAATGAGAGATGGCAATATGGGTGCCCTTAGTCTCCAAGCTACAACCTGCTAGTGGAGGCAGAATCCTTAGCCTGGGGGTTTGAGGGGCAGTGGAAGAAAGAGCTTCCCACTGATATCTGTCTATCTGTCTAAAATAAAGATGGGATGGAGGTTTTAGGCCTGACTGCTGTATCATGTGATCTGATGATGTTCACTCTGCCCTTTCTTCTGTGACTATTCCCCATGTCTCCATTCCTTTACATTTTAATGCCTTTTTAGACTGACATAAACCAGGTCCCTTCAAATGTTCTGTGATTAAATAGACACTCTTTCCTCTCCACAGCTCCCCATGTCTTGCCATGACCTAATTCCTTAGGCTGGACAGAAGGCTGGCAATCTGGCTCTAAGAGTTGAACACGACCTAGGGTGGACCTGTGTATAAAGGCAATGAAGGGACACTAGCCCACTTGAGCATGCTGCTCTGGTAGCCTAGCCTTCTGCCCAATTCCCTCTGCCTTGCTAAAAACCATTAGATGATACCCCTAGAGCCAGCTACCAAAGTCTATTATCTTATATGGCAACTTCCTCCTCCTGAGGCTGACTGCCAAAATCCAGCTATCCAAAGTCCAGCAGTCAAAAGCCCTCTTGCTGGGTGGTGGTGGCACACACCTTTAATCCCAGCACTCAGGAGGCAGAGGCAGGTGGATCTCTTTGAGTTTGAGGCCAGCCTGGGCTACAGAGTGAGTTCCAGGAAAGGCACAAAGCTACACAGAGAAACTCTGTCTCAAAAAACAAAAAACAAAACAAAAGCCCTCTTTGGCTCACCTAAATAACATGTCCTATTAAAATGCACCACCACCTCCACACCCATTGTAATACAGACCTCCCTTTTTTTTTTGTTCTTAACATAACACATGCGAGCTCATTTCCTGTTGTTTTGCTGCCTGAATTTGAAAGCAGCCACTTTAACCTTTCTTCCCTGCTTAATGAATGATCTCTCAGTGAAAGCAGTGTTTGGGTGTGGTTTGTGCCTAATCTGGGATTCCAGAGGAAGCCCCCACTGTGCAGGGTGGAGGAGGTCTCCTTCATGGAGAATGGAGTCCCTTGTCCAGAGAGGGGCTGCAGTACCCCCTTCAAGGGCCATAGAGAAAGGAAACGATTGGAGACAAGACATCCACACTGTGGCTCAGATCCATAAAGGCTATTTCCTTTTTCTGCTTAGTTTTTTAAATGAGAAAAGCTGTCTCTCAGTATGACCTTGAAATGTTACCCAGCCTTCTTCTCTTAAGTGCTTGTATTACAAGTATGTACCACCATGTCCTAAATCCAAGTATAGAATCCAGTGCTATGTGCCTGCTCAGGTAACTGAGCTATGTCTCAGCCTATCTTTCTTATTTCAAAAGACTAGAAAAGGAAGCACCTTTGGGTCTTTCCTTTGTATTCACTGTTACATTCCCCTTCCCCACAAATGCTGTTTTCAGGGCCTGGAATGAATTTTGCCAAATGGGCCAGCATCACCTGGCTGTACTCCCACATCCTTGGGCAGGAAATGACTGAGGTTGAATTTCTTCCTTACTTTGGCACCAGGCCCTTCCACGACACTGTTGGAAGAAATCTCAGTAAGCACCAATGTGGCACCTCCCTCCACAGGCAGCCAAGAAAAGCTTCAAGCACATACACACACAGGTTCCTGCAGCTCCCTGTCCCCTTCAAGACATGGGACAATGGCTTTCTGGATGTCAAGAGGGCAGGCAGCTGCCATTGATCTTCTGGATGCCACTCCATTCATGCAGAGGAATCCTAGGGAGGGGACACAGCCTACTCTCCCCAGTTAAAATAGAGGGCCTGGTGCATGTGGGAGAACTTACTACAGTCACCCCTGATGCAGATTGGTTTTGGTGTGAGAGTCGATCCCCACCACCCCACTCTGTCCTACTGTCAAGGTAAAGCCTTGGCAGCCTGTCCCAGGCTGCTCTGGAGCCTCCTTCCCAAGAGCCTGCCCATGATATCATCTGTTGTTCCAAAAGCTCCCATCATCCAGGCACCTTGCATGGTGACAAGCATGGAAATCACCAGCTGCTCATGGCTGTCCAAGGTGCAAGCATTAGGCAAGTCTCCCCGGGGGGACTAGATCAGCAGCTTGCATGCAAGGTGGAGACTCAGCCTTTCCTCCTGGTGGCCACTGCCACTGCTTGGAGCCACCTATACTGTTCACAGCCATTTTTCATGTCCCCATCAAGATGTAGCTTCTGGGTCTGATGCTTCTGCTCACTGGTGGGTCTGCTCTATACCTGATGCAGCATGGTCTAGCAAGGCTGGCTAGCCTTGTCACCTCCTGGACATCTTTCCCAGGGTGCTTGGTTTTGGGAAGGGATCCAGGGGTTGGCAGAGATGGTTAAACCCACTGCACTTTCCCTTTCTAGCTCTTTCCTGGGCTTCCTGGGGAGGAGGAGGAGAGGTGTGGAAAAAAAAAAAAGACCTGACCAGGAAAATTCAGTTTCCTCCTCTCTCAAGTGCTTAGATTGTTGGCCCCACAGCAATGACTACATGCTGTGTGGTGGAAAGGTGTACAGTGGCACATTCCACCTTGTGGTTCCTTATTAATATCAATACATTCCAATTACTAAGTATATTATAATGAATTTCCTTGCTCTGAATATTCAATTTTCTTTGAACTTGGAAGTTTTCATCAATACCAGATAAGAAGGCTGGAGAGATCACACAGTATGTAGTATTGGTTGCTCTTTCGGAGAACAAAAGAAAACTGTAAAGAAAAATCCTGAAAAAGTTGTTTATTACCAGAATTTCCCTCATTTCTGGTGGGCTCTAAATTGCTCAGAGAGTTTTCATACATACAAAGCAAATAAAATACCATGGATGATATATTCCTGAACAAGAGAATTCTTACCTACAAAAGCTAGATTCCTGTAGTTCTCCAACATCACATCAATACATAGGTCCCTCCAAGAGGATTCTAGACATTCCCATTCCTCCTGGGAGAAGTCCACAGCAACATCCCTGAATGTCAATAGACCCTGTAATGGAAAACTACTCATTTACCATGTGCTGCTGTAGAAAATGCTTTTCTAGGAAAAAGAAACCTAAAGAATTAGTTTGTCTTGTGATATAAATGACCCATACCATTTATTCCCAGACAAAAGTTGTCTAGAGGTGGTGAAAAAAGTGTTCACCCAATAAGAGCACTGGGTGATCTTATAGAGGATACCTATTTAGATCCCAGCACCCACATGACATCACACAACTGATTGCAATTTCACTTCCATGCGATCTGTGGTGGTTTGAAAGAAAATGGCCCCAAGGGTATGCACTATTAGCAGCTGTGGCTTGTTGGAGTAGCTATGGCTTTGTGAGTTAGTGTGTCACTGTGGGGGTGGACTTTGTGGTCTCCTATGGAAAAGTGTGGTAGACAATTCACTTACTCTTGTCTGTGGATCAAGACGTGTGATTCTCAGCTCTCCAGCACCATGCCTACCAGCATGATACCATGTTTCCTGATATAATGATAATAGACTAAACCTCTGAAACTGTAAGCTAGCTTCAATTTCCTTTATAAAAGTTGCTGTGATCATTGTGTCTCTTCACGGCAATAAGAACCCTAGTTAAAACAGGATCTGTGGCTCTTCTGATCTCTACAGATAGGAGGCACACACAGCACTAATACCTACATCTAGTCAAATAGACACATAGCCATAAACAAAAATGAAAGATAATTTCAAAAGATACTTTCTAGAGTACTCTTTATTGCATCTTATATCTCTGTAAAACAGAATGGAGTAATAGTCTCAATAACATTTATCTTTTAGGGAATAGAAGATACACATTTTAGGTCTAGATGCAAGGCTGTACCTTGATGAAAAGTATGTTAAAATCAAATAGGACCAGTGTTTCATCTCAGATGGACAAAATAAAAAGAGCAAAACTGTGCTTACAAGTGCTACAACTGTCATCCTTGCTCAAACATGGGCACTGGATCAATCCTGTATACAGCTGGGCATCACCAACTCTATTCTAACATGCTTAGTTAGGATGCTGATGTGCAGTTTCAATGCTCCACCCTTTGTAGAACGAAGAGTTTGAATGTGGAAGGCAGAACTATTGATGAATTAAAAGTCAGAAACCTTTGCTTTTTACTATGTTTGTCATGCTATCTTAGAAAACAGACCAATTATGTCATGGCACAATCTATCTTGCAAATATCATACTTTTTTAAATGTGGTCAACCTATTGTCAATCTAGTTAGAGCCATTCCCATCAATATCCAAGTAGACCATACATATACATCGCTTCCTGAGGGAAAGTGTACTTTTCTGAGTTCCCAGTACCTAGATAGGAGGATCAAGCACAAGCACTACATTTGTGAGCCTCAAACTCTGATCTTAACTGCTGTTTTGTCTTCAGACTGGAACAGAAGTAGGGATGTCTGATGCTGCACCTAGGGACCCAGTGTATTTAAGAGGAGTGTGAAGAACTGAACAAAATGAAGTTACACAGGATAGATCTCTGTGCCCTAACCTGGTTTTCACACAATAAGGTAGTTATGAAGGGAAAACAAAGGGAGGAAGTGGTGGTGTTTGTGGCCTACTTGGAAAAGTGATTATAGCACATTGGGTACAGTGCTAATAGCTGAGTAATTTTTTGTGCTTATAGCTCAGTGGGTAGAGAACTTTTTGTCTCTGGGAGTAGAGTGTCTGTAGTTCAGTGGGAAGAGTGCTTATACCTTATTGTATATATTGCTTGTAGCTCACTGTGATCAGTGCTTGAAGTTTAGTTATTACAGTGCTTGTAGCTCAGTGGGTAACTGCTTTAAAGAGTTCCCATTCCAATTGAGAAAAAAACAAAAAGCACTCCAACAGATGACCACGATACAAATTAGGATACAGGCACTATAACAAAGATATAAAACAGCAGAAATAACTCTGTCACAGCCATGCTAAAGAGTGTAGCTGTCCTCACTTGCTTCCTCACCCCTTTCATTTCTTTTGCTGTGTCCACTTTCTACCACCTCCCCATCTGACCTGAGACAAGGCCTTCTCCAGAATCCATGTGCTGAGTGCTCCCACCACCCTCTCTCTCTGAGAGTGTTTGCATGATGTGTGTGTGTGTGTGTGTGTGTGTGTGTGTGTGTGTGTCTGTGTCTGTGTCTGTGTGTCTGTCTGTGTGTGTCTGTGTCTGTGTCTGTGTGTCTGTGTTGGACTTTTGTCCACAGCCACTCATAAATCACTATGGAACAGAATTAATTTGTCCCCTCTCTCTCTAGATCTCAATTCTAACTCTTTCCTCCCTTCAACTTCAGAGTCACTGTCTTAGTTAGAGTTACTATTACTGTGAGGAAATACTATGATTAAAAGCAACCTGGGGAGTAAAGGGCTTTTTTGACTTATACTTACACTGCTCATCAATGAAGGAAGTCAGAACAGGAATTCAACCCAAACCCAGCAGGGTCCTAGAGGCAGGAACTGATCTCTAGGCCATAGAGTCATGGTGGTTCACAACCTGTGAGTCACGGACCCTTTGGGGGTGCTGTTGAGCTACCCGTTCATAGGGGTCACATATCAGATATCATGCATATCAGATATTTACATTACAATTCAAATCAGTAGCAAAATTAAAGTTATGAAGTAGTGACAGAAGTAAGTTTTTTGGTTGGGGGGTCACCACAACATAAGGAACTGTATTACTGGGTCCCAGTATTAGCAAAGTTAAGAACCATTTCCATGGAGGAATACTGATGACTGCCTTGGTACCTATGGCTTGCTCAACCTGCTTTCTTATAGAACCCAGTACCTCCATCCATAGGATGAGGTGGAATCTCCCAGTAAACCAGCAATTAAGAAAATGCTCTGCAGGCTTGCCTACAGCCAATCTTATGGAGGTATTTTCTTAATTGAACTTCTGTCTTCTCAGATGACTTTAGCTTGTGTGACACAAAAATCCAGCACAGTCACTATGGCCTTGGTCCCTGGTGTGAAGGCTGAAGTTGAATCAGCATAGCAGGCACCAGTACCTGGGTTCAGGCTGCCACAGCTTCCAGGGACTGATTCAGCCATAGTCTAGAGTGGGAACAAGGGTGGAGTGTGGGGAACATAAGGAACCTTCTGCCCAGCTGGATCTTCGTGGCCCTATTCACCCTGCCCTTGGCTGGAAACTTTTCTCTTTTACAGTGGCATGGCTAAGACACAGAAAGGACCAGGTGTTAGGTCTAAGTCTCTCTTCTCTCTTGTAGGAAGCTAGGTCATTCCTGTGTCTTTTATTTTATTTGAATTTCAATGTCTTTGGCTAAGAATGAGCCTCACAGTGGGTTTCATGTGGAATAGTGAGGGTAGGGTACAGACCTGTGGGATCAAACAGGTCAAAGAGGAACACCAAGAAAGTATAATGGGGCTGACTAGAGGACTAGCTAGCACATGTGACCCCTGAGTTCTATCTGTAGCAGGGCAAGAAGGAGAAAAACAAACAAAAAACCAAAGTACTAAGTAAACTATCCTTTTCAAATCTAGACATAACTTACGTGTAACCCTATATACAATATTTTGTTTTCATACTTAAAAATTAGTATTTTGTTGCTTTTGTTTTATTGAGACAGGGTCTCACTATAAAGCTCTAGCTGTCTTGGAATTTACTATGTAAAACAGGCTGGCTTCGAATTCACTGAGATCCACCTGCCTCTGCTCCTCATATATGCCTGTGTCACCATGTCCGGCTAAGATTTTTAAAATTATTTTCAAATTGTGTGTAAATGTGTGTGCAGGTGTGTGCATGAAAGTGCAGGTGTCCACAGATGGCACTAATGCCCAAAGGGCACCAGATTCCCTGGAGCTTAAGTTACAAGTAGCTGTGAGCTGCTTGGTGTGGGTGTTGAGAACTGAACCTGGGTGTTCTTCAAGAGCAGTACTCACTCTAGATCACGGAGACATCTCTCCATATATACAGTTATTTGTGTTACCAGGCAGGGGTGTGAGTACATGCACACATATCTACACAGAAGGACAGTTCTATTCCAATATTAAGGAGTTGGGATATGGCTCAGTTGTTAAGACTGCTTGCCTAGCATACTCATGAAACCCTGAGTTTGATCCATGGCATCTCATATGTCAAGTATGGTAGTGTACAGCTATAATCCCAGCACTTAGGGGCAAAAACAGAAAGATCAGAAGTTCAAGGTCATTCTTGGTCACATAGTGAGTTTGAGGCCAGCCTGGGATATATGAAAATTTGTCTCCAAAAAGAAAGAAAAAAATTAAGTATCTAACAGGCACCACTACTGCACCTCTGGCTATCAGCATCCCCAAAGGTAACCAGGCCCAGAAGTTATTTCCAATTTCCAAAGGCCTCTGAGGACCAACCTGAGCTGGGCCATTTCTTGTTCTTTACAGCCTGATAAGGATAGCTGCTGACTGCCAAGTTTCCTGGCTGCCTGGTTTGTGCTTCTTCCCCATATTCCTATGCAATGTGGGAAAGTGCTACTACCTGTTTTTGGTCTTTAAGCATGACTCCTCGTTCATCATCTTCATGTCCCTCTTTGACTACTCCAACACCTTTCCAGCCTCCATGTGCTTAGGGCCCAAGTGAGGGAATTTCATGACATCAGGTAGCATTTCATTAAGAGACTCCGGACTATCCTTCAGTATAATGAGAGATGACAATATGGGAGTCCTTTAATCTCCAAACTGCAAGCTACTGGTGGGGGCAGAATGCCTAGGCTGGGGGTTTGAGAGGCCATCAGTGAAAGGGCTTCCCAGTGATATCTGTCTACCTGTCTAAAATAATGATCGGATGGAGGCTTAAGGCTTAAGTGATTTGACAATGTCCACTCTCTGTCCTTTCTTCTGTGACTGTTCTCCATTTCTCCACTCCTTGTCATTTTACTGCCTTTTTTATACTGACATAAACCAGGTGCCTTTAAAGGGTCTCTGATTAAATAAGCACTCTTTTTCTCTCCATAGTTCTCTATGTATTCCTTGCCCTAATTCCTTGGACAGGACAGAAGGCTGGCACCCTGGGTCTAGGAGTTGAACATGACCCTAGTGTGGGCCTGGGAATAAGGGGAGTGAAGGGACACTAGCCCACTTGAGCATGTGGCTCTGGCAGCCTTGCCCTTCTCCCCCGTTCCCTCTGCCTTGCTAAAAACCACTAGATTACACTCCTAAAGCCAGCCACTGTTACCTTACTTGGGACTGTCTCCTCCTGAGACTGACTATCAAGGTTCAGCTATCTAAAGTTCAGCAGTCAAAAGCCCCCTTTGGTTCACCTAATTAACATGCCCAATTAAAATGCACATCCTAGCCCATTATAACACAGACCTCCCATTTTTTTTTTCTTCTTTAAATATTACACGTGCAAGGTTATTTGCTGCTGTTTTTTCTGCCTGAGTCAGAAAGCAGCCACTTTAACTTTGCTTCCCTGCTTAATAAAAGATCTCCCTGTGAAAACAGTGTTTGGATGTGGTTTGTGCCTAATCCAAGGTCCAGGAGGAAGCCCCCACTATGTAGGGCAAGGGGCCTCTCTTCAGGGACAATGGAGGCTTTTGGCCAGAGAGGGGCTGCAGTACCCCCTGCTAGGACCACAGAGGAGGGACAGACACACTTGGAGTAAAGACATCCAGATTGTGATCTAGATCTATAGAAGCTATTTTTTTCCCCTGGCCATTTTTTTTAATGAGACAAGATGTACTTGAGTATGACCTTGAACTGTTCCTCCAGTCTTCACCTCTTAAGCGCTGGCATTGCAGGTATCGTGTCCTAGATCCAGTGCTCTGTGCGTGCATTCACTGTTTCATTCCCCTTCCCCACAAATGCTGTTTTCAGCCCCTGGAATGAACTCTGCCAAACAGACCAGCACCACTCCCTGCCCCGACCATACTCCCACACCCCTGGCCAAAAAAGGCTGGAGTCTGGGTTCTCCCTTACCTTGGCATCAGGCCCTGGCACGGCACTATTGGAAGAAATCACGGTACTCCCAACGTGGCTTCTTCCTCCAAAGGTAGCTAGAGAAAAGCTTTCCAGGTCACACACACAGGGTTCTGCTGCTCCTGGGATGTCAGGGAGTGGACAGCTGCCACCCACTCCTTTAATGCAGAAGAATCTGAAGGAGGAGCTAGAGAGGAGACTCCTAGTTAAAATGGAGGTCCTGGCGCATGTGGGAGAGCTCTCTACAGTTACCCCCACGCAGCTAGGGTTTTGTGTGAGAGTCGATCCACCACCCCACTCTGTCCTACTGTCAATCCTTGGCGGCCTGTCCCTGGCCACTCTGGAGACTCCTTTCCAAGAGCCTGCCCATGATATTATCTGTTGTCCCAAAGACTTCCATCATCCAGGTAACCTGTGTGGTGAGGAGCCCGGAAGTCTCCAGCTGTTTGGCCATCTGCAGTGCAAGCCTGATGCAAGACTCCCCGGGGCGACTAGATCAGCAGTTCACAATGTGGAAACTCAGCCTTTCCTGTCCAGGTGGCCGCTCCCATTGTTTGGAGCCACCTAAACTGAACACACCCATTTATGCTGTCCCCTCCTAGATGTAGCATCTGGGTCTGAAGCCTCTGCTCACTGGTGGTCTGCTCTATACATGATGCAGCATGGTCTAGCAAGGTTGGCTCTGGCGCTTGTCCTGGACGCCTTTCCGAATGTGCTTGGTTTGGGCAAGGGATCCAAGGTTTGGCGAGGGATGCTTGAACCCACTGCAGTTTCCCTTTCTAGATCTTTTCTGAGCTCCCAGGGGAGGAAGAGGAGAAATGGTGAAAGGGCAGAAACAGAAGATTCTTAGGTTCCTCCTCTTCCAAGAGGAGGATTGTCGTGGAAGCTTCTGGGTCCCCACAGCAGTGACTAGATGTTGAGCGGTGGAAAGGTGTACAACGGTGCCTCATCCCCTTGTGGTTCCTTCCCAAGCATGCTCTGCATTGACTTGGCTAGCTGGGCAGGGTCAGTAACTATTTTACTTGTTTTGAAGTCTATGCAAGTCTTCAGAGAGCAGTCACGGTGGAGCTTTTGCCTCATTGGCTCTTTGTCCTGATTTAATTGCCCCCTGAGTATTGTACCCATTTTGAGAAATGCCCAAAGACCACCAAGGAGCAGGTTTCTGATGCAAGTACATAAGGGTCCTTTAATTGTCAGTATCAAACCTGGGCCACCACCAGGCAGAGGAGGAAAATGCAGCAGCAGTGGCAGTCCACAGGTGAAGAGTTTTTAAAGGGGAAAACCACAAGCCAGAAATTACATGCTTTGACAACTTGGGATTGGGTAGAAGGGATATAGGGCAAGATAATTTTTTTAAAAACTATTGGTGTAGACTTTTGGTGTGAATCCACATTTGAAACTATTGGGTTGGACTTATTGGAGAGAAACCACAGTTTGTTGAGCAGGATTATCTAGGCTGCTCAACAGGATTATCTAGATATCTTCAAGGGCCATAAACCACAGACAGAATGTCTGCAGGAACATACTGCCCTGTATCTGTTCTAGTTGTCAAGGCACATTCCTGAGGTCCTTCCTGGAACTGAGTACAGCAGGTGGTCTAAGATGGTGGCCTTTCCCTAAGATGGAGTCTGTATTGCCTTCACACTGAGCATCTCCACTCCCATGCTCTGGGGTTCTTTTTCCCTAGTGGGTGGCACTGAACAACTGTTTCATCAACTTAGGCCCTTGGGGAACAGCAAAAAGAAATGACCACTTTTTTTCTTAGTTTTTTTCTTTACCCAAATGATGAAAAAGTTCTGTTAAACAATCTACCCACTTACAAGTGCACAGCTATTGTGTGTAGTTCTCAATCTAGTTAACTATAATTTCGGATTTTTTTTCCAAAATGTATTGGCAGATGTTAAGGTTCTGTGCCACCTAGCCTAGCTTTAATATACAGTCCAGGGAGTCTGACTTTCCACTGGTTCAAGAACCATTGTTTGAATATTTTCCACTCTTGATCCTTTTTCACTAAAGTTTTAACATGTTTTAAAAATGTCTGTTCTCATCCCTTGGGACTTAAAGCAGTATTAACTTTGCCTCTGAATAAGGTCACTTAATTGTAAAAGAATAGCTTTAATATTTTACAAGGTGCAGCCTTTGTGATCCATGGTACTACATGATCTTTTCATTCATAAATGCCAGAGAAAGGGGTGGAGAACTTTGCAGAAGTCATTCACCTCATGTCCCTCATCATCAATACTTTATATTCCAAGAAGAAAAGTTTCCTACAGGAGTTGATTTCTAATGCTTCAAATGGGAGTATTCTGTTGTATTTTTTAAAAGTTTATAGAAGTGGGAGAATTGATGTGTGTTGGGATACTTAGTGGGGGTGATTGACAGGAATAATCCATCAGTTGATCCCAAAAATCTGCCACAAGTTTGGAAGGGAAGGGACACTTTATACAAATGGAATAATGTGACTATATGTATGTAATTATAGGCCTGGGACAAGATTCACTATGAGAGTCCAAGAGAACCTTCTAAGTTAGACTACAGTAAAAGCTGAAAATTGGCATCATCTCCAACCCTCAGGGATGTATGCTGGCCTTGCTAGACACAGGCATTGGAATGACCAAGGCTGACTTGGGAACCATTGCTAATTCTGGCACAAAATTGTTAATGGAGGCTGTCTAGGTGTGCAGCCTTTCAACCATAGCACTCTCAATTCATTACTGCTTTTGGATTGTTAACTTTTCAAAACTTTTTTGAGTTGTGTATGTGGTATATTTTTTGAGTGAGTACTTTTTTTTGTTTGTTTTTGTTTTTTTTTTTCAAGACAGGGTTTCTCTGTGTAGCTTTGCGCCTTTCCTGGATCTCGCTCTGTAGACCAGGCTGGCCTCGAACTCACAGGGATCCGCCTGCCTCTGCCTCCCGAGTGCTGGGATTAAAGGCATGCGCCACCACCGCCCAGCTGAGTGAGTACTTTTGGAGGTCAGGGAAGAACTTGGACAGTTGGGTTCCTCAGAACTTTGGCTTCTGCAGAGTCATCTTGCTGGCTCTCTCTTAACTTTAAAACCCTTTCACTGGCTATTGCAAGCATCTCCATGATTGGGCAGTATGGGGCTGGATTTTACTCTATTTGTTGTAAGAGAAAGTGGTCATGATCACTGAGCACCCTGATGATGAGCAGTATGCCTCAGAGTTCTCTGCTGGTGGATCCTTCACAGTTCATGCAGACCACAGTGACCTGGCTATGAGCATTGTGCTTGGTGTATTCTCTGAGTAAATCAGAAGTCTTGAGCATTGTATTTTAAAGTGGTCTAGTTGAAGTTTGAATTCCATGTCTTCATATTTTATTATAATTAATTGTTATACAGGTATACCCATTGACTGTGAAACCAATGTGATTTCTACACATCATAGAAAATCAGAGAGGCTGGACAGTGGTATTGCAGCACACGGATGGAAGAAGATCTTTTGAGTTTGGGGCCAGGCTAGTTCCTGGACAGCTAAGGCTACACAGAGAACCCTGTCTTGAAAAACAACCAAAAAAGGTAAAGTAAAAGACAATTAGACAGAATGCTTAGGGTCAAGAGGAGGGTCAAGGAAGTGGTGAAGAAACAGTTCACGAGCTATCCCACCACTCTCTATGTGAGTATGGGCTTAGAAGTCTGAGCAGTCTGAGCAAGACCTCTGGTTTTGCTGGTCCTCAGTTCTCCATGTCTCATTAATACATTTGATGATTTAATTGGAGAAGGAAGGAGAGAGGGAGATCACTGAAGATCAGGCTGAGGGAAGAGAAAAGTGAGAAAGAAGAGGAAGATGAGGGAAGAGAAGTCTAAGATTGAAGATGTGGGAACAGATGTTGAAGATCACAGTGGCAAAGATAAGACTAAGAAAACCAAGCCCATTAGCAGTTACAGAACAGCCAAAACTACAACGTGAGCCTCTGTATCAAAAAAAGTTTTTGGATTGTCCCCAGATGACAATCTCCAAAAGGCTTGTGTCTTCACCCTGCTTCATTATGACAAGCACCTATGGCTGAACAGGAAACATGGAACAGATCATTAAGGTCCAAGCACTTCAAGACAATTCTACAATAGGGTACCTGGTGACCAAAAAGGCACTGAGAAATCATTCATGCCCACCCTATTGTGGAGCTTCCATCCACTGGCTTAGGTTGACAAAGTTACAAAACTCTCAAAGACCTGGTGCTACTGCTGTTTGAAACTGCTCTGGTCTTCCCTGGTTTCATCCATGAGGATTCCCAGACCCCCTCGAACTGCATCTACTATCTACTGCATGATCAAACTAAGTCTGGGTGAATTATGGGGTCTTATGAGCTATAGGTGGCAAGTTGTGTAACTGCCTGACCCCTTGGACAGACTTAATGACAACTGGCTCAAATCTCATGTTTTACTTTTTAGGCACTGATGATGATAAGGTGACAGCAGAGGATCCCAGTGCTGTTGTTCCTGAAGTGACCCTACCAGACACTTGAAGGTGATGAGGGTGTTTCTGGTATGCACCAAGATTACAGACCTCCCTTGGGAGCTGGTAGCTTTTGTTGAGTTTCTCTGTGGCTCCCCCAGCAGGCTTGACTTGCTTTAACCCACTTGGCTCCTTTCTTAAATTCAGTGGATCTCTTCTATTCTGCCCTACTGCCTTAAGGCAAGAAAATAACCTTCCACAAGTATAGCAGGTTGGGTATTGTGCATTGTGTTTTTTGTTTGTTTGTTTCTTTTGTTTTGTTCTGACATTAAAATTTCTATGCAGTCCTGCTCTCCTTGTAAAGTAACACTCAGGATGCGTGAGCTTTTTCTGGGTTGTATTGGAAGGTGATGAGAAAGGCACTTGTCCAGTGTTTTGAACTTCAAATACTGCCCTTTGAGACTGCTTCAGCCAATGAAAACACAAGGCCATGTCACTGCAGCAGTTTATTCAAATGCGAACAAAAGGTGACATTTCCAATTACCAAAACTTGTTCAAGGGACATGAAGATTCGCAGTGGGCCTAGTCAGGGCTATCAATTCTGGCACAAAAGTGTTTTCACTATGCTAGAGAAACAGTGTTAGAGCTTGGAATTCTCTGGCTGAATCAGTTTCTCATAGTTTGAGGAATGGGTGTTAAAGGTAGCAGACAAGCAAAGGACTTGTGCCCAGCACCTAGGTCAAGATATCAGAAATGGTAAGAGGTTGTATATCTGAATTACCTCTGCAACAGACCCACAATTGTCACCTCCATGCAGTAGCACAGAAGAACCAGCTTAATGGAAAGGTGTATAAGGCTCTTATGGCAAAAGAGGCTGCCTCCAGGGCTCCAATGCTCTACTGTATTCTCTGATACTGGGAAAACACTTTGCTCTTGAGCCAGCATCTCTGAGAAACTACAGGAAACCAGAGTGATGAAAGCAGTGATTAGGGTTGCAGCTCTTCAGCCCCTCTGCCCTCCTGAGCAGATTATACCAGGGAAGTGCCCAGTGCCCTCCTTGTCCCCTCTGCTTCAGCCCAACAGGACAGATGAAGAGCCTCTATCTCCCTTTCTTAAGGGTCTTGGCAGGCTGGGCAGAACATCCTGCCAGCAGAGGAGCAGTCCTCCTGTCTGGCCACATAGGTTACCTCTGTACCCTCCAATATAAAGGCAACTCAGGCAATATGCTCCTCTCCTTCTTGATCTGCAGAGCCATATTCCTACATCCTCCCTGGGTAAGGCAGGTTTCTCAGGGAGGTTAGGCCCCAGGCTTCCTATTATCCAACCTGGGTCCTGAAATTCCCATGCGTGTCAGGAACTTGGTGCTTCATCCTGCTTCCCAACTCCCCCACTTTAGCATGGGAGGAGGGGAAAATGGCAAATGCCTGCTCTTTCAGCTTCCTCTGCTGCCCAGGTGCAGCAGCCAGGGAGGCCCTGGAAGTGCCATAAGCTTTAACTGGTTTCCATATACCTCTCAGCCTCCAATATGGCTACATCATCAGAGAGTCTGCAAGGTCCAGGCCAGGAGGGAGTCAAGGCATAGTTTCTTTGGGGAAACTCAGTACTGAAGATTTTCTTGTTTTCTACCCTGCTTGGACACAGCCATCAACCCTTGGCACCTCAAACATAGTTATGACCATTGCCACTTAGTGGACAAGCTTTGTGAATATATGAGTAGATGGTGGTTTGAATAAGAGTGTCTCCCATACATGCGGAGATTTGAATGCTGGGTGACCAAGGAGTGACACTGTTAGGAGGTATGGCCTTGTTGGAATATGTTTATATTTATAGGAGGAAATCTGTCACTGGGGTGGGCTTTGATGTTTCAGGTGCTAAAGCCAGACCCAGGGTCTCTCTTTCTGCTGTCTATAGATCTTGATGTAGAACTCTTGGCTCTATCTCCACCACCATGTCTGCCTTTGCACCATCTAGGTTTCCACCATGATAATAATAATGAACTAAACCTCTGAACCTACAAGCTAGCCCTAATTCAATGCTTTCCTTTATAAAAAGTTGCTGTGTTTATAGTGTCTCTTCAGAAATGGAAACCTTAAGACACAGGCCAAAGAGCTTCCTCTTAGGTTAGTTTTCCATTTTTTTTAACAATGATCTCTCAGCCACTCACCCAACCTGTAGAATCCTGCTGGCTTGCTTTCTCTTCCTGCCCTTAATTCTCTGTCCTTTTCTTTGCACATCCTATGTCCTGATTTATATAATAAGAATCTGAAGCTCCCTTGGCCACCCAAAGCATGGTCCTCCACCTACTTTATTTTCCTTCTCCCTGCTAGTGCTTCCCTTCCCAGCACAAATTGCAATTTATAGCCATGTTTATGATTTTAATAGCCATCTCACTTACAGGAAGTACTTGCTTCGAATTTATAATCATCAGAACCTGTGTTGGTCCATTTCTCCTTATTCTTTCTGTAACTTAGGACTACACTAGCCAGTAAAGGAGCACATTTTTGAGTCCCAGTTGTATCAGCTGTGGCTCTAGCTTCCAGGTAGAAGAAGGTGGGAGCCCTGTCCAGTCTTCAGTCAGTACATTGCTGTGGCTTCCTGGAGATTTTCAGATCATCAAAAGGCAAAGAAGAAAGGTGCTGAGAAAGAGAATGTAGAGGAACTGGTTTAGTGTCATGAGATGCTGCAGCAAGATCCCAGGAAAGCTGCTAGGCAGCGCTCTTCCCACCAGAGCTGAAGACCAACAGGGGACTCAGTCATACTGACTTCCCAGGTAGTGTGTGGTCTGAGTATGGCCAAGCTTCAAAGTTTCAGACAAGCTCTGCTAAAAATTATTCAGCATGGGCTAGGAGTGTCTAAGAGGTAACTCAATCTATTTGCTACTTTTTGTGGCTGTTTTGTGGGTGTAGAAGGGTAATTATGAGATGTTTGGCATAATTTAGTTTGTTTAGTTTTCCCATTATGTCACTCTGTCTGTCAGGATTCACTGTCAGGAAATTCCCCGAGTAGACCAGGCTGACCTCAGACTCACATGGCTCTGCTGACATTTATCTTCTGAGTGCTGTAATTAAAGGCATATGCCACCTGGCCCAACTGAATATTATTATGTATGTAAAATATCAGTTGTCTCATAACAAAAACAAACTATTCTCCCACCTAAAAAAAAATTCAAGACCTGGAAATGGGAGGTATACATGTGTAGTTTCAGATATTTGGTGATGTTTATGCTGACATGTGCTGAGGCATGGTTCTTTGAGTTCTTACAGGCCTCACCATTTATTGTCTTCCATCTGATAGCTTCAGTGATTCACTCCTGTTGGATAGTACATATTTGGGCTCCTGAGGCCTTACCTGCTAAAGAAACTGTCTGACTAGGGCAAAAATCAGCTAAAGATGCCTCAGTTGGTGAGAAGCAATTCTGTTCTATCCCAGCAGTTTTTTTGGGAATAGAGGTGTTAAGGGAGGATCTCATGTAGCTTAGGCTGGCCTTGACCTTTCTGCACAGATGGAGATCTTTGCTTTTTGATCCTCCTTCCTCCATTTCCCAAGTGCTGGAATAACACGTATATGTCACTTTATGTGGTGCTGGTAATTGAACCATATCCTAGGCAAGCACCGTGTCAACTGAGTCACATCTAAAACCTGACCACTGTTAAGTAGTGGGGTCTTTTCCCTAATAGAAGTGCCCATGTTATAGTTGGGAGGCCATGCCAGGCAGAGAATATATCTCTTAGAATCTCACACAGGTCTTGGGGGGCATCATCTTCCATAGTCAGCATCAGGGAGTTAGCAACAGCCTCACAGAGGATGAGATGCTGTTGATGTCCTACCCAGTTGCCAGGTCCACAGGTGTTCATTCATTGAGTATAGTGACATCTACTTGAGAACCAGCTTGGACCAGGAACTGCACCATGCTATGCTCCTGCATTTCCAAAGCCAGGTGCAGTGCAGTCTGTCCACTGGGCCTCCAGGACAGAAATAATGATATCAGCTATGAAGTTAAAGGGGCAATATACTGATCCTGTGCCCTGGAGATGGAGTTTCAACAGATTTGACACTATCAGGGGACTTGTGGCTGGACAAAAAGGAGTCAGGTTGTGGACCAGGTGGCATCCTGGCTCCATTCTGTAGCAGTGATTCTATGAATCGTTGGTTCTTCTGCAATGTGGTGACTTGAAGACAGAAAAGGCCTGGGGTAGACTAGGTTAAGGATAATTGTTTGCCATGTACTGGTCATTTTCTTCAAGAACCACCCTACCGTTCAGCCTCCAAGGACACCTGCCAACTCAATTCCACTAATCCCAAGACTATTAAAACACAACCTCCTGGCCGGGCGGTGGTGGCGCACGCCTTTAATCCCAGCACTCGGGAGGCAGAGCCAGGCGGATCTCTGTGAGTTCGAGGCCAGCCTGGGCTACCAAATGAGTTCCAGGAAAAGGCGCAAAGCTACACAGAGAAACCCTGTCTCGAAAAACCAAAAAAAAAAAAAAAAAAAAAAACCACAACCTCCCAACACCACCCTCAGATCTGAGAGGAAATGAACTTAAATGTTCAACCTTTCCAGTCATATTATTGAAACTTTCATGTTTTGGGGGACAGACTGCTGAGTGACAGCCCCAAACTGTCTTCCAATGTGCATATTCAACCTAGCCAACTCTACACTGTACCTGCCTTCCAGTCCCAACTAGGTTTCTTACATAAGCTGTCTGGGGAACCCCCTGGCTCCAGGGCCTACACAGGGATCATTCCTTCCTCTATGCCCCATGGCTCTTGTTTTACTTTTGTTATCTCCCACTTGGTCTAGAATCCCCTTCCTTTCTCTAATTCTGCTTGTAATAGAGATTTAGATTCTAACTTTGTCCTTTGTCTCTTTCAAGTTTCTGTTCAAAGGTTCCTGACTCTGTGACCTTCCCTAACCACCCTAGGGAAAAAAATTAACCTCAATGTGCCAAAACCCAGTACCCCTGCATCTGCTATTCTATCACAGCACCCACTTCCCTTAAACACACATATAATTCATATAATTCACTTTGTAAATTTATTATTTTTCTCACTCTTCCTTGGTTTTCTTCACAGATGCAAGCTCCACCACTAGGACAATTTGTGGCACATAGAATGTGAGTTCATATAATTGTTACTAAATATAATATCTTTAGGACAAGGTATAGACTTATATTGTGGAAATTTGATCCATTTAGTCAATTGGGGTGACTATCCCTATGGAGTGTGGTCTCTTCTGAGTACATGACCAGATAATAACTGAAGAGGAGGGTCACACACTCTCTCTAGGATGTAGAAGGTTTCTTGGTGCCATGGGTTGGTGAGCTTGTATGGAGCTTTCCCTGTCCTTCCATGATGGACAAGGAGGCAATGGTACCACTTCATTCTGTATACATGAGTTTGTAATTCCCATTTCATCCCTTAGTAAATTATTGACCAGACTTCAATTGCATTTTACTTTACCTGGTGCCCATGTGGCCTGACCCCAAATGGCCCTGGCAGGGCCCACTGCCACACATGGCTAGGCCTAGGATTGCTATCACACCTGCCATGATTTATTCTGTTACTGCTTATGAAAGGTCAGCAGATAACAGTTACCCTGGAGGATATACAAAATGTAAATGAGAACCTATTCATATGAAATAATAGTTTCCTATGGTATGCATTCAGCATATGTGAGGCAGATGTTGAATATGTGGTCCTCTAGTAACAAAATTACTTTAAATGACTGGAATCAATTAGTCTCAGCAGTATTAGAATATGGTCCTCAGTTAGAATGGAAAGGCTGGTTCAGTTAGAATGGAAAAGCTGGTTGAGGGAAGAAGCTAAGGCCCTTGAACAGCAAGGTGAGGTTAGAGATTTTCAGATTTCCCAAGATCAATACATGATGAGGACCATCATGCTTATGTAAATAATTAGGCTACATAAACTAACTCATGTTTCTGAAAAGAATATTATAAGGTATTATACAAAACAGTCACTGACCCTGTGCCATACAGCAGCCTTAAATGCTTAGTATAAGATTCAAGAATCAGGAAAAAAGAACTGAGCCATTTATTAAAGTTATACAATGTTCAAAATAACCCTTCACTAACTTTTTGGGAAGATTGACTAAAGCTGAAATAGAATGATATCAGATCCAGAAGTTAGATGAGTGCTAATTTAGAATTAAAAAAAGATAATTGGAACTTTAAAAATCAGATCAGCACCCACAGAAGAATGGACTTAAAACACTGTCAATATTGAGTCTCTTAACTATGGTGATGAGGCTTGGATAGGAGAGGTGATTTCCAAAGGCCTGAAGACACATCAAAACAGCAAGTGTTTTAATTGTGGTAAACCAGGCCATCTAAGAAGAAATTGTAGATAAGGAATTTCTAGAAACAATGTTTCTTCTAGGGATAATGCAAATAGAAGACCCCAACCTTCTGGATTATGTAGAAGATGTGGCAAAGGCTGACATAGGACCAATGAACACAGATCAATAAGAGTCAAACAATGCAAACCTTTTCCATCAGGAAATGCCTTGGGGGGCCTCTCACAGGCCCCCATGTTGAATGTGGTCTAGTCATTCCCAGTTACAGTGGAGGAAATTCTTCCCTAGAACACTTAGAGGATCCAGAGCCTATTGTAATACACATACTGCTCTGGATGATAGAACAGCTTTGGAAGATGAGTCAAAAATTCCAGGAGAAACCATGAAATGAATATTTTAGCAGACTTCTATAAATAATTAAAGACCAAAACAAAGGGTCCAAGTAAGTGACATTGTAATTGAAGGTCTCTTGGACACAGGGGAAGATATGACTGTAATTTCACTAGAATCATGGCATCCAAATTGGCCTCTTCAGGAGGTAGATATTCAGTTTTTAGGGATTGGAACTCTATCTCAGGTAAAAACAAAGCATGAGATGGGTTGAATGTATAGGACCATAAGGACAGAGAGGAAAATTAAGGCCATAGATGGCTAAGATAGCAATGAATCTATGGGGTCATGATAGCAATGTAATACCTAGGTTAACATTCATCCAATCTCAAAAACAAACCATAAACCAATTCATGTTTCTGAAAAGAATATTATAAGGTACTATAAAAAACAGTCATTGACCATTTAGGCTGCACAAAAGCAGGGCACAACAGCTGTTGATCTCTCAGAGGTACCAATAGCCTACCTTTAAAATGGTTAACTTACAAACATGTCCAGGTTGGGCAATGGCCTTTGACATCAGAGAAACTACAGGCCTTAAAACAGCTGGTTCAGGAGCAGCTAAACCTCAACATATTAATGAATCAATCAGGCCTTGGCATTCTCCTGTATTTATTTTTAAAAAGAAATCTGGAAAATGGAGAATGCTAACAGATTTAAGAGCCATAAATAAAGTAATTCAGCTGATGGGCTCTCTATAGCCTGGAATTTCTTTGCCTTCTCTGTTACCTAAAGGATGGCCTATTATAGTTACTGACTTAAAAGACTGCTTCTTCACTATACCTCTATAAGAAAAGGATAGGGAAAAATTTAGTTTCACAGTGCATACTTATAATAATTCTCAGCCTGTTAAGAGATATCAAAGGAAGGTTCTCCCATGAGGAAGGATAAATAGCCCCACCCTGTGCCAATATTTTGTACAACAACTGTTGGAAATAATTCATATACAGTTTCCACAATCTATAATTTACCATTATATGGATGATATGTTATTAGCTGATTCAAATGTAGCTACTTTAAAAAATGTTTGAAGAAGTAAAGAAAGTTTTGCCTATTTGGGGGTTACAAATTGCTCCTGAAAAAATACAAAGAGGAAATTCTATTAATAACTTAGAATATAAAATATGTCTACTAAAATTTTGACTCCAAATGGTACAATTTAGAAGAGACTGATTACAGACTCTTAATGACTTTCAAAGATTGCTAGGAGACATTGCCAATCTATGGCCCACTATTGGAGTAAAAAATTCAAAACTGAGCAATTTGTTTGAAACCTTAAAAGGTGACAAATATTTAAATAGTCCCTGAGAATTATCAGGGGAAGCTGAGAGAAATTTGGCTTTGGTGGGAAAGAAATTATAGGATGCACATATGGATCATGTGGATCTGGAGCCTGACTGCATTCTGGTTATATTACTCTCTATGCACTCCTCTACAGGGATTTCAATGCAGAAGAAAGATATTATCTTGAAATGGATTTTTTTTACCACACAGAGTAAGAAATGAAAAACTTATATGGAAAAGTTTTCTGAGTTGATTCTAAAAGAAAAATTATGACTTTGTCAGTTGACAGGAATGGATCCAGTAGAAATTGTAGTACCTTTTATTAATGAGGAAATTTCTTCTTATGGGCAAAAAATGAATATTGGCAAAGAGCTTACAGTGACTTTTTGGGAAAGATTAATAATTATCCCCAAAGCAAGAGACTTAAATTAATAAAAGGAACCAATTGGGTCTTTCCTTACATTATATGGAGAACACCAATCTCTGGAGCTCCTATATTCCATAATGATGAAAATAAATCTGAAAAGACAGGCTACAAATCAAGAAATTTAAGTAAAATGGTTCAAAGTCCTTATGACTCTATGCAGAAGTCAGAATTATATGCCATTCTCATGGTACTAATAAATTTTACAAAACCTCTCAATAAAGTTACTGACTCTCAATATGCAAAAACAGTTGTTTTACACATTGAAACCACTGAACTTATTCGTAATGAATTAGAATTAAGTTCATTATTTATACAATTACAGGAAATAATTAGGAATAGGAATAATCCCATATATATAACACACATCAGATCCCATAGGGGTCTGCCAGGTCCTCTAACAGAAGATAATGATGAAATTGACCAGTTACTAATGGAAAATATGCAGGAGGCCACAGGATTCCATAAAAACCCCATCATGTCAATAGCAAGGGTTTAAAAAAGGATTTTTCCATCACTTGGCAACAAGCCATGGAAATTATAAAAAAAAATCTACTTGTTCCTTGTACAACCAAACTCCATTACATAGAGAAAGGAATTCAAAGGTATGCAAAGAAATAAAATTTGACAAATGGATACATTTCGTTTTACAGAATTTGGAAAATTAAAATATGTACGTCATACAATAGATTTGTTTTCAGTATTTCAATGGCCAATTGCTTTGAGTTCTGAAAAGACTGATTTTGTAATTACACACCCATTAAAAGTCATAGTCATCATGGGAATATCCGTACAAATTAAGACTAACAATGCTCCAGCATATGTCTCTAATAAAATTAAACAACTTTTTATATATTATAATATAAAGCATATTACAGATATACCACCAATCCAACAGGACAAACTATTGTAAAAAGATCTAATTGCATTTTAAAAGAAATGTGTAATAAAAAAGTCCCCAGAGATGGACTATATAATGCCTTATTAACTTTAAATTTTCGAGATGCTAACAAGAAAGAAACAACAGCTGTGGAGAGACATTAGACAATAGAAAATACTGCTGAACTAAATCAACCTATATACTCTAAGGGCGTATTGATCTCAGAATGGAAACCAGGATATATGTTATATTGGGGAAGGGTTTTCACTTTTGCTTCCACAGGAGAAGAAAAGCTATGAATACCATCAAAATTAAGAAAGATTGGATTCAAGCAGGAGGGGACTCTTAACAAGGAGAAATAATAGTTCATCAACCAATATGACAAACCTACATATTGAAAGGAAAACTCACCAAATAAGGGTCAGGGCAGGATTCTGTTTTTGTCTTTGCAGGAAAATAGAAATATTCATCTTCAAGAAGTTAAAAGACCTGGATATCTAGACATTGAAAAAAGAATGGAATGTTATCCAGAAAAAATTACCAAACAAGGAAAAATCTGACCTAATGGTACCAATATTCTCTACAAGATAAAATTTCTCTACATAAATATTAAAATCTTTTCACTTCACTTAAAATTTATAGTCCTGACTTGATTAAAATTAAAGCTGGCTTTGGAATTGGAATACAGCACTCTCCTCTAAATCCAAACATATTTAAAAAATCAGAATATCTATCTCATATTAGAAGAGCCACCCAACATGGGACAGAAGAAAACCAAAATCTAGGGATTCTTATTGTCACAAATTTCTTTCCCCTCCTACTTATTTTGGACTCTTTAGAACCTTTATTTAGATACAGTACTATCTTAAAATTGAAATTTTCCCTTTTGATATTAATAATGTTTAAATTTTCCATAATGAACAATAAATTGTCCTCACAATGATCTCTGAAGTCTCCAAAAGGAAGATGGGGCCTGACAACAATGACTCTACCTGGTCCATAGTAGTGCCATTGAGCTAATAAACACCACTCAGAGATCAGCCTTGGACTACAAACTACTCTGGACAAATCAAGATGGCTGGCTGAGATGACTCACTATCCTACAACACTCTAGCCAGAACTTCAGATAAGCTTTACCCATTACTCAGAGACTGGCTACAAATGTCACAACTAGTCCTCATGAGACAACTATTGTTTTAATATTTTAAAGGACCCCATAGAGATACCTTCACCGCCCCCTCAGATAGCAGAAAGTAATCCTAAAATATCAACACCCCCTCTCCCAAAAGAGTTTTGGTTTATCTTGGGGTTATGGATAACTGTCATCTATAAGGGGTTGTTAATAAGTTATTATAGGGTCAAGAGTGGAACAATGACGACTAGACTCAGGAATCTCATTTGAAATAGAAACAAGGGGGATAGATATGATAGGATAATAATGTAGATTATTATATCTACTTATAAACTAAAAAAGCAACTATCGGGGCTGGAGAGATGGCTCAGAGGTTAAGAGCACCGCTTGCTCTTCCAAAGGTCCTGAGTTCAATTCCCAGCAACCATATGGTGGCTCACAACCATCTGTAATGAGATCTGGTGCCCTCTTCTGGCCTGCAGGGATATGTGCACTGTATACATAATAAATAATTAAAAAAAAAAAAGCAACTATCAGTTTTAGATAATTTGCTTTGGTATGGACTCTTGTATATTGATACAAATGTAAAATTTCTTTTCCTGTTTAAGATAATTTGTGTATTGATACAAATTCAAAATTATTCTTGTTATATTGTATATGTGTGTGTTTCTACTCCTGTTTAAAATACTTTTGCATATTGATACAAATGTAAAATTATTTTGTCATACTGTGTATATGGTTCTACTTCTGTTTAGGATATTTTATATAATGATGCAAATTAAGGATACTTTTGTCATATTGTACTATACTACTACCTCTGATTAAGATATTTTTATATGTTGTCAAGATTTGGAGGTCACTGTCCTTATAGTGTACATTTGTTTAAAGATTATTTATTTTTGTAATGTAAAGCTTTAGTCTATAAGCTATATAGGTTGAAATATTGAGCAAACAAGGACATACCCTCCTCCCTCAACAAGAAAAATGAAAACTGAATTGATTGGGGAATTTCTGTTTTTGGGGGGGAGTGGTCACTGGTACATTATCAATATTCTGGCTGGAGGTCCAGATGCCTGCATAAGGTCCCTGCTCATTCTGCCCACTCACAAAACAGTGGTGATGTCTGGTCTTTTGATTTGAACCTGCCTACAGGTTAAATGTAGCCTGCGAGTTAAGTTAGGAATTTGGAAAGGGGACTGGAGCTTCCAGGACAGGTTGATTGAGAGTCTGTCCACTGCAGTGATGATAGTGGTGGTGGGGAACCAACTTCTTGTAGCTCCTGGGGAGGATCAAACTGAAGATCCTATCTCTGACAAGCCAGTTTGCTCATGTGTCTTCATCCTCACAGATGTATGTGAATGGTTGGAGTTTGGCAGCTGCTAGCCTGGGAAAAGTTCTCCACATAGAGTCTCCACAGCTAGTGCAAAGACTCAGTGAGAGAGGAAGTGACATAGGTCAAATTTGAATTTGCCTACCCCTCTTCTGCACTTTTCTTACCTTCAGGTTCCTTGTAGGTCCATCCACCAAGGATGAATCCAGGGCTGTGGGTAGTCAGTGTGCACAGATCCTGGTGCCCCTGTAAGCACAGGCAGAAGATCAGAAGACCTCAGAAGATCTCTATGCTGGAGTCACACTCATTGTTGTCTGCTGCTGTTTTTTTCCTTTCCACACATCCAAAATGCATGTAGCCCAGCACTGGATATGTGCACATGAGGTACTAACTCTCCATAATGTGCTGTATGCCTTTCTATGTTTACGAATCCACCAAGCAGAACAGGCATCCCACTCTGAGCAGTTTTATTACCTGGATATGTAGATACAGATGAAGAGAAGAAGCAAGAATAGTCCACTATGGCCAGAGCTTTGGATAGATGAGCACTCCCTAGTCCAGACTTCCACACCTCTCCCCCAAAAAACACAGGCCTGAGAAGTGGCAGCCTGTCATTGGCCCTGCCCACAGACCTGCCCCTTACTGGCACTTTCACACCCCTTTGTAATCACCCTGACTACTGCAGAAGTTTGGAAGTGTCTTAACTCACAGTTGCTTTGATTGTTTCATCCATTCATTCATTCTTCCTTTTTCTTTTCCTTTTCTTTCTTAGTTCCATGCATTCCATCATTCATTCTCTTAGTTCCTTATCTTTATTCATTTATTTATTCAACTATTTAAATAGCATATGTACAAAAATTGGAATGATACAGAAAATATTAGCATTTCCCCTGCACTAGGAACACACACACACACACACACACACACACACACACACACACACACACAGAGAGAGAGAGAGAGAGAGAGAGAGAGAGAGAGAGAGAGAGAGAGAGAGAGAGAGAGAGAAGAGAGAAAGATAGAGAGACAGAGACAAAGACAGAGAGACGGGGAGACAGAGACAGAGAGACAGAGACAGAGAGAAACAGTGTGTGTGTGTGTGTGTGTGTGTGTGTGTGTGTGTGTGTGTGTGTGTGTGTGTGTGTGTATTTTCTACACAAGCTGCCATAGTAATATAGGCTATTGTGGAAATTTTTGTCTATATCACTGTCAGGTGTTTTCAAGTAAGTGCCTGTTTTTTGAGACTTGTGCCTGTCTTTAGAGAAGAGGTGATGGGCAAGTGGGCAGTGGTGACTTGGTGGTCAGGTGCACCATAGGTAGAAGCATCTCGAGGATGCTCAGAGCCAACAGGCCAGTCCCATTTCTGCCAGTCCTGTACATGAACTGATATTTTCCCAAGGCTCAAACCTTGACTGTTTTATGATTTCCAGGGATGCCTGTGGGCCATGACAGGTACCCAGGAGCAATTTGGTTGGTAGATGTTACTTCAGAACAAGAGTCTCAGGCATCACTCACATATCACCTGCCAAATTTGCCTAGGGAAAGCCCTGCTACTTCCTCATTTGAGTCTTCATCTTGGAGAGGGCCAGTTGTAATCCTCTAGATCTTGCCTAGTCACTTACACTTGTGTAACCAGAATGTTCTCACAAAGATCTAGTTCTAGTGGCTTCTACTGCTGTTCTGTGTC